TTATACATATGTAGTCATACAAAACACTTCCATAGTAGTCATGTTGTGAAAAACTAAGTATATTTCCCTTCATCCTATCCCACCCCACACTTATTCTGCTCTCTCTTTTGACCCTGTCCTTCCTCAGAAGTGTTTGCTTCTGAATGCCCCCTCCCCCAACCTGCCCTCCCCTGTATCATCCCCCAGTTCACTTATTCCCTTCCCCCCCTATTTTCCTGTAGGGTAAGATAGATTTCCATACCCCACTGTGTATGTTATTCCCTTCTTAAGCCAAATACTATGAGAATAAGATTCACTCATTCCCTCTCACCTTCCCCCATTTCCCCTCCACTGTAAAAGCCTTTTCTTGTCTGTTTTATGTAAGATAATTTACCCCATTCTACCTCTCCCTTTCTCCTTCTCCCCATATAATTCTCTCTCATCCCTTAATTTTATTCTCCAGATATCACCCCTTCATCTTCAACTCATCCTGTGCCCTCTATCTATCTATCTATCTATCTATCTATCTATCTATCTATCTATCTATCTATACATATAATTTTTTCCCTCCAACTACCCTAATACTGACAAAGGTTTCATGAGTTACAAATATCATCTTTCCATGCAGGAATGTAAACAGTTCAACCTTAATAAGTCTCTTATGATTTCTCTTTCCTGTTTACCTCTTCCATGTTTCACTTGAGTCTTGTATTTGAAAGTCAAATTTTTCTATTCAACTCTGGTCTTTTCATCAAGAATGTTTGAAAGTCCCCTGTTTCATTGAATGACCATTTTCCCCCTGAAAGATTATACTCAGTTTTGCTGGGTAGGTGATTCTTGGTTGTAGTCCTTTCTCCTTTGCCCTCCGGAATATTATATTCCATGCCTTCCGGTCCCATAATGTAGAAGCTGCTAAATCTTGTGTTATCCTGATTGTGTTTCCACAATACTTGAACTGTTTCTTTCTGGCTGCTTGCAATATTTTCTCCTTGACCTGGGAACTCTGGAATTTGGCTACAATATTCCTAGGGGTTTTCCTCTGGGGATCTCTTTCAGAATGTGATTGCTGAATTCTTTCAATTTCTATTTCACCCTCTGGTTCTAGAATATTAGGGTAGTTTTCCTTGATCATTTCTTGAAAGATGATGTCTAGGCTCTTTTTTTGATCATGACTTTCAGATAGTCCAATAATTTTTAAATTATTTCTCCTGGATCTATTTTCCAGGTCAGTCGTTTTTCCAATGAGATATTTCACATTGTTTTCTATTTTTTCATTCTTTTGGATTTGTTTTACAGTGTCTTGATTTCTCATAAAGTCACTAGCTTCCAATTTCTCCATTCTAATTTTTAAGGAAGTATTTTCTTCGGTAATCTTTTGGGCTTCCTTTTCCATTTGGCCAATTTTGTTTTTTAGGGTATTCTTCTCCTCATTGGCTTTTTGGACCTCTTTTGCCATTTGGGTTAGGCTATTTTTTAAGGTGTTATTTCCTTCAGTATTTTCCTTTAGCAAGTTGTTGATTTGTTTTTCATGATTTTCTTGCATCACTCTCATTTCTCTTCCCAGTTTTTCCTCTATGTCTCTTACTTGCTTCTCAAAATCTTTTTTGAGCTCTTCCACGGCCTGGGACTGATTCATATTTTTCTTGGAGGCTTTGGATATAGGAGCTTTGACTTCATTGTCTTCTTCTGTTGTATGTTTTGATCTTCTTTGTTACCAAAGAAAGATTCTATGGTCTGACTTTTTTTGGACCTTTGTTCATGATCTCAGCCAATCACTAAACTCTTTGTTGAGGTAGGGGTCTGCTTCCATTGTCCCAAGAGAATGTACTGTCCCAAGCTTCAGGGGTTTTGTGCAGCTGTTTGCAGAGATACTTCTAGGGACCTGTAAATTTTCAGTTCTTCCAAGGTGGTATGATCAAGGGCGAGGTGTTTATGCCTTTCCTGGCCTGGGCTCTGGTCTATGAGTGACTACAAGCACTCTTTTCTGCCTTGGAACTGTGAGGAGGATTTCCTCTCCACCACCACAACAAACTCTACCATGCCAGAGCTCCTCCTCGCCCTAGGACTGCCACCCAGAACTGTGACCCAGATCCAAGCACAAGCAAAGCAAGAAAATTCTGCCTCAGCACTGGCAAAAGATCCGTGCAATCCTCCTCTGATCAGTCCCTCGATTCCCTCTCAGTCTGTGGGCTAGAAGCTCTGGAAGCAGCTGCCTGCCCCCGGGGCCACACTCAGGGACTGGGGCTGGGACCGCGCTTCTCTCTCACTGCAGTCACAGACTTTTCCCACTGATCTTCTAAGTTGTCTTTGGTGTTCGTGGGTTAAGAAGTCTGGAAACTGCCACAGCTGCCCTCGATTCAGGCCTCTGAGGCCTGCTTCAGGTTCGCTGAGGCCTATTTTGCTTGTGCGTCCATGCTGAACTGAGCTCCTCTCCCTGCCCGGCGCGATATACCTTTCCAATTAACCATCCAGGCTGTCTTTGGCTGTAAATTTATTTTACACTGTCTTTTTGTGGGTTCTGCTACTTTAGAATTTGTTTAGAGACATTTTTTACAGGTATTTGGAGGAGTTTGGGGGACAGCTCAAGCAAGTCATTGCTTTTACTCTGCCATCTTGGCTCTGCCCCTCCTAATATTCTTGTATTGTTTATATGATGTTCAAGCTTTGTGATTTGTCATGTTTTCTCTGGGATTTCTATGATCCTTATGTTGCCTCTATGCATCTTATCTTCAATATTAACATTTTACTCTTTTTGAGATCTTGTTCTCTTAACATTATTGCTTTTTGTTTCTCTACTTTCAGATTGTCTTTAACTTCTGTATATTCATATTCTCAATCAGTTGTTTTCTGTTTCTCTTTACAGAGACTTGACACTATGAATTCAAGCTTTTCTATTCTGCCAATTATTTCAGGCTATGAATTCTGCTTTCATGATCCTTATTTCTCTCAAACCGTTCACAAACATGATGCTATTGTTTCATGTTCTCTTGGAAATCCAAGAGATTCCTTTGTCTTGTAATTTTCCTTTGTCTTGTAATATTTACAGAGATTTTTAGATTCATCTAGAGGTCTTCCCTCCTGTTACTAATAAATTCTCTGTTGATTTACCTGTTTATACTAACGGTTTTTAACTGAGTTTTCTTCATCCTGGTACCTTTAGTAATTTCAGTCTTTTTTCCCTGATATTCCCCTATTGTTCACTCTCTGATTTCTTATCATTTGATAGTAGATTCTTGGAAGACTGACTCATCTTCCTTCCATGCTGGGGAATTCAATTAGTCCCTGACCAAAGTGATTTCTGACGGGACAAAAATGGCTCCATCTAGATGGAAGTCCCTTTTCCTTCAGGGTGGTGCAGCCTCACATATGTATTTGCAACCTATCCCAGTTCCTCCTGTGTCTTTAGGTCTCTGGATTAATGTTGCATAGAATTGCACACAGCCAACCTAGACAGAGCATGCTTCTGCTTTCCTATCCCTACATTGCCACACATATTAGACCAAATGACCTTTTAAATGAAATGAAGTGGTAAGTTGAAAAAAGTAGAAATTACCATATCAAATATTCATAGTCTCTAAACTATATGGGATGAAAAACTTTCAAAATAAAGATACGTAATAGAGGAGATCAAAATCTTATAGGAACAGAATGAGGTACATATCATTCCATTAGTCCTACTTGCTATCTGAGGATACTTGTGATGATACCAGAGAGGATGAGCTTTATTTCACCCCACAGAGAAGATTTTTATCTGCCTATGCAATGGTTCTTAGAATATTAAATATCAATGTCAACTTCAGGATACTGGCTTGTCCCAGGATCATTTCTGTCTGAACGCCATAAAAAAAGATGGGAATAATATAACAACAACCACAACAACAACAAAATAATGGTTAGGAATTCCTGACATAAAAGGCAATAAGAAACAAAATATACTCAACAGCCTAAAACTGGAAAAATCTGTGAATTAATATTGCCAGGTAAATTTAGTCAACTAAGTACTGCTTTGCATCATGATTTCAGAGTTACTCTGAAGGTGACCCAAACATTAGCTACTTTGTTGGACAAGAATACGGCACTCTATATACCATAATAAATCACATAATTCCATCCATTTAGATTATGTCTTAATACTTTGTCAAGAAAAATAACAGAATTATTTTGTGATTTAAAAAAACTAGGCGGGGCACTTGGATATTCTCTACTGCAGGAAAGATTTATGCTTCTTACCTGAAGACAAGAGAGCAAATGACAAAGATTATTAAGGACAAATTCATAAGTAAAGCTCCAATGGACTCAATTAACCCTATGTAGAAGACTCCTCGGTTTATATATCTGGCCCTCATCTTTCTCCTGAGTCCCAACTGTCTGCTGGACATTTCCATCTGAATGTGTCCCATAGGCATCTTAAATTCAACATGTCCAAATCAGAACTCATTGTCTTTCCCTTCAAACTTACTCATCCTGCTAACTTCCTATGTCTACGTCTATTGTGCTGTTTTTTCCTATTGCTGGAAGAATAACAATCTTCCAGTCACTCAGGTTCAAACCTTGAAGTTATCCTTAACTTTTCTCTCTTTACTCATTCTCTATATCCAAACCTTTGCCAATTTCCTTCAATTCTATCTTCAAGGCTTAGCTTAAGGGTCACTTCATTCAGGAGGTCTTTTCCTGACCTCTTTTCCTAATTGTTAATCTATAGGCAAATCACTTTCCTAATTGTTAATCTATAGGCAAATCACTTTGCATTTATTCTGTATATATGTTGAATTTATTTATTAGTGGATATATATTACTCCAAACCCACAGAAGAATAAAATTTCCTTGACAACAGGGATTATTTACTTTTTTATACGTAGCCTCAGTGACTAGCACAATGCTTCATAAGAGTAGGTGCTTAAATAATTGTTGTTGATTGATTAAGGGATGTATACTCCACTAATCTTCCTTCCCCAAAGGTTTTATGTATTTATTTTTTTTGCAATAATGCTTGCATGAGCAAAATAATATATGGTACTTACTTATGATAGAACATCCGAGCCATGCCCATTCTCTGCTTCTCTCCTCCTGAAAGGACATCCTTCCAATCCATGACAGCATCCCACCCTTTGAAAATCACATGTAAAAGAGCATATTTTATTGTTAAAAAAAATTTACCCATCACTAACAATAGCTTCCTTCCCTGGAGTATCCACATGGCTTACTTATTATCAAACTGAGTATAAAATAGTTCTGTATGGGGCATATGCACAGAATATAGTCAATGCCAAATGAAGGTTCATTCTTCTTTATGATTTATTTTACTAAGAGTTCTAAACATTACCACAATTATTTTTATTGTTATTTTAAAATTCTTAAAATATTCTTATCAGGTAGCAAGTACAGGTATTATTCTGGAGAAGATGTTTTTAATAGAAACAAAGGCTACTTAATTTTGTCAAAGACTTTTTCAAACTTGGTCAATATAGTCTTACGGTTTTTATTGTTTTTGTTATTACGGTCTCTTATATTTACATTTTTCCCTGTAGTGAAAACAACGCTCCTTTCTCAGTATAAACTCAAGCAAGTTCTAGGGTACAATCTTTTACATTTCTTATTGTAGACCCTTTGCTAATATTTTATTTACTATTTTTACATCAATTATCAGGGATATTGAATTATAGTCTTATTCGTCCACTATATTTCTCCCTGATTTAATTATCAAGCCCATATTTTTTACCACAGAAGAAATTTGATAGGATCCTTTCTTTTCTTATTTTTTCAAACAGCTAATACAATATTGGAATTGATTTAGTGAAAATGCACAGTCAGGGGATGGAATGTCTTGTTAGAGCAACAGCAAGGAAGACAGTGTTAGAGTATGTGGAAGGAAGTAAAGAGTAAGAAGACTGGAAAGGTAGGAAGGGGCCAGGTTATGAAGGCCTTAAAAACAGGATTTTATAGTTGATCCTGGATGTAATGGAGAGCCACTGGAATTTACTGAATGGGGAGTGACAAGGTCAAATCTATAATTTTAAAAGATCACTTTGATAGCTCAGTAGAGGATGGAATGGAGTAGGGAGAGACTTGAAGCAGAGAGACCACCTAGAAGGTTACTGAAATAATCCAGGCATGAATGATGAGGATCTACACAAGGGTGGTAGCATATATGAGAGTAGTTGTGAAGGTAAAATCAACAGAAGTTTGGCATCATATTGGTGATTGGGGGAGGGGGATAAAAGAGAATAAGGAGTTGAGGATAGCACCCAGGTTGTGAACTTGTGTGACTGAGAAAATAGGGATGCCTTCAACAGTACCTATACTGATGGACTAACTCAGTAGAATATACAATCACAATCACGGCTATATGCCTTTTCCATTCATTTAGGGTTTTTATTCCTCTTCCTAGGCAAAATTAGGACAATCTCTTTGGAATCTCCTTGAGGAAGACCTATGACCCTCTGCCTCCTACTACTCTGATAAAGACAACACACACACACACACACACACACACACACACACTCAAAACCAAACAAACAAAAGAAGGCCACATAGGACCATTTAATCAGTAAGCTCAAAGAATTCATCATTTGGTGGCCAACTTTCTGATAATAAGCCTCTCTGTACCTAGCTAGGCTGATCTTTAGGCAGGAGATGGTCTATTGCTAAACTGTATTTGGAGATGGTGTAGCTTGGTACACTCTACCAGATTTTGTGTTCTACTAGCATAGCCACTGAGACCCAGAAATCACCTCCAAGTCATGATGACATATCTGAATGGAACTTTTATAGAGTATTTTTAATTATCCCAAACTGCTCCCTTTCTCAAAACACATCTATTCACTAATATTCTCCTGATGATGCAATATAGCTTCAAATGATTAAACACAAACTCAGAAGAATAGAAACTGGGTATCTCAAAGAGCAATGGGAAGATGCATAATGTCTATAAACATGCTTCAGCTGCAATGATGAATTTGGCAAAAGCAATGGCATAGAAGATATAATCTAGGACATATATGGGTGTAAGAGGATTTGAGAATGTCATACAGGGTAAGCCTGCCATTTCCTCTGGCCTTTTAAGCCTTCTCTTCTAAGGTTACCTTTTTTTTTATATCTCTTGTGTATTTATTTATTTACATATTTTCCCCATTAGTGTACATATATATATGCATATGTATACACACACATACATACACTCTTTGAGGGCAGGGACTGTGTTTTTTTGTTTTTGCCTTCTTTGTATCTACAGCACTTAGCATAATTCCTACTATGCAGTAAATATTTAATAAATGCCTGTTTGATGATCAATGGATTTATAGAGAGCTAGGAGTAACAGAAAGAGAACTTGACTATTCTTCAAAAGCCCAGAAGACTTATATTTCATTAAGTAAATTTTCTCTGAAGAACTTATATAAATACACATATAGTCAGGCAAGGTGGCACATGCCTGTAATCCCTGCTACTTGGGATGTTGAAGTTTATAGACCTCTTGAGTTCAGGAGTTCTTAGCCACAGTGAGCTAAGACAATCAATAAGTAACCAAGTGTCTACTTAGTAGTTATATGGTAAGGGGCCGGGAGTGGGGGCATGGCTCAGGTCAGAAATGGAGCAGATCAAAATTTCCATACAGAGTTACCAAAGTTTCCATCAAAGTTTCCATACAAAGTGGGACTGGGTTTGTGAGTAGTCTCTGCACTTCCAGCCCGGGCAACAGGGAGAATCAATCTTAAAAACAAAACAAAAAAGCTACATTTATAAGAACCACACTAGTTCAGAAGGCATGATTGTCATCCACATATGAGTGAGAGCACGGATTTAACAAAGTATTAAAAAATAAATATAATACCTGTGCTGTGGATATTACCTTAAAAATGGTATACTCTAGAAATCATTATTCCTAGCCAACCAGACTCTTTCCCTGAATTCACCAATTTTGGTGACAGGGAATTTTTAAGAAGGAATTCTGACCACATAGGCAATTTTCTCTATCCCAGATTCTGCACATCAGGCCCCACAACCCTGCAAATTTCTGTATTGATTGATGTTGGTCAGAATCTGAGAATTAACGGTTATTCCTCCAGGTGAGAACTGATGAGGTATGCTGGTGAGACTGCAGAGAAGATGGATAGAACTTTGCTTTTTCTTGAGACAGACAAACATGAACCTTTTTGAGTTGAACCATTTTTTGCAGAAGTACTATATTTTTTCATCAAAGTCAGTACTTGTCTCATTTTGGTTAACTGTGACCTCACTTCACATAACTGAAGTTGTTACTCAGGACATCATTAACAATTTATTCAGATAAAGCTCTGGATTATACATCATATCTCTAGATGTGTTTTTTTTTTCCAATCTCAACTCGTCTGCTTTCTCAGTTGGCACTGTATCTATCCACATTGGTCTCTGTAACTAGGTATCCACTTTAATTGTGTCAAATAATGTGTTAATTCTTGAGGACGCAAAGAAAAACAAAAACATGTTCTCTGCTTTAAAGTTCACATTCTAATGGGGGAGACAATATGCAAGTAACTATGTACATGGAAAATATATATAGTATAATTGGAAGGTAATCTCAAAGGGAAATGACTAGCAGGGAGTTAATAGTGACAAGGAAAAAAAACTTTTGGAAGAAAACAGAAATTGAGATGTTTCTTGAAGGAAAACTAGAAAAGCTAGGAGTCAAAGGCAAGAGCATTCCAGGCATAAAGAACCAATACAAAGTCATGGAGAAAGCAGGAACAGCAAGTAGGCCAGTATAGACAAATTGTAGAATATATGGGAGGGGGGGATGTGAAGTGTAAGAAGACTAGGAAAGGAAGGAAGGGTCAAGGTTGTGAAGGGCTTTGAATGCTAAATAGAGCATTTTACATTTTATATTAGAGGTAATATAGAACTAGTGGTTTTATTAAGAAGAGGAGTGACATATTCAAGCCTATTCAAGTTTAGGAAAATCATTTTGCAGCAGAATGGAGAATGGATTAGAGTGTGGAAAAACTTGAGGCAGGGCAACCAATTAGAAGGCTATCATAAAGATTGAAGCAAAAGGTAATGAGGAAGTGTTGTTTATGTGAGTATGGAAAAGAAATGTTATGAAGGTAAAAACAAGATTTGACAACTGTATGTATATGTAGGGACTCAAAGATGACAGCAAGGTTGCAGGCCTGGATGACTGGGAGAATGGTGACCTTCTCAACAGTAACCAGAAAGTTGGGAAGAGAGAAGAGTTTTGGGGGGAAGATAATGAATTCTACATGAGGCATATATAATATGAGACTCTTACAGGTCTTCCAATTCAAAATGTCAAAAAAGCAGTTTGTGATGCATGATTGGAGCTCCAGAAAAAAGATTAAGGTCCTTCATCATATCCTGCCAACTATGCCAAATGTTGAAGGTGACTTTAATGCCAAGACTCTTGAAGTTCAGGTTCAATGCTGGGGCAAAATGAGGCATTCACAAGTGACTGAACAGTTAACAAAGGAAGTTTAATTTGCAGGTAGTTGGCACAGCGAATGGAGTGCTGGGCCTGGAGTCAGGAAGACTCATCTTTGGGCATTTAAAACTGGCTTCAGACACTTACTAGCTGTGTGATCCTGGCAAAACACTTAACCCTGTTTGCCTAAGTTTCCTCATCTATAAAAATGAGCTGGAGAAGGAAATGGCAAACCACTTCAGCGTCTTTACCAGGAAAACTCCAAATGGGGTCACAAAGAGTCAGATATGATTGAAACGACTGAACAATCACAACACAGCAAGGATATGCAACAAGGGTCACAAGGCTGATAAGTGTATGCAGCCAAATTTAAACTTAGGTTTTCCTGATTCTAGGCCTAGCATCTTGCTGCCTCTAAAAAGAGGTCAAGAGAGACAAGGACTTAGAAAAACACCTTAAGAGTTGGCAATGAAGAGATTACTGGTAACAGGAGTAGTTTTAATTGAGTGATACAGTCTAAAGTCAGAAAGAAAAAGGGTTTGGAAAACACTGGGAAAAGATGTGGCAGTACCTAGTGTAGATGGCTTTCTCAGAGTTTAGCTGAGGAGGGATCTGAGATGATAACAAGAGGGAATGATAGGAAGAAATGACAGTTTTTAAGGATAAGGTGGACACAGTGTGTTTATAGGGAACA